GGTTTAGGGTTTAGGGCTACTTATTTTTGCTTACTGGTGGTTAGTAGGGGATAAATCCGAAGCCCTCAACCAGATAATCCCTATATAACCTTTCTCTCTTATCCTACTATCCGCCCGTCAGTTTGGGTAGCAAGGATTGAAGGAATGGATCCTTACTCTACATACTCCCCAATAATCAATCATTTTACGTCAGGAAGGTCAGGCTTTATCCCTCATAATCATAAGATCTGCGTCGGAGGCTAGCCGTGTTTCAATTTGTCGTTTCAGTGCAGCCGTCCGTAGATGCCAACCTGGATCCTAAACAGCATCTGAAAAATCGATTCTTCCAGGATTCCAAGTATGCTTATCTCGTCTCAACTCTAAGCCGTAAACCCTAAACCCAAACCCTGAACCCCGAAATCACTTGGAAACAAGCACTGGGCTGCAATGGGCTGGAAGCCTAACAACCTTCAAAACCCGTTGTATTCAACAATAGTATACAAATCCCCTGTCCTGAGCCTTTCGACTGAAGATTTCTGGCTCCGCGGATTCATTGTCCAGGATCTAGGGTTTAGGGTTTAGAGATAAGGACAGGGGAGAAAAATTACTATCTGGGGTATTGCTGCATGGTGCAATGTAATTAAGTAGCTTGACAGCAGATGAGGGATAAACTTCCTGATTCCAGGGGCTGTTCGGATTTACTGGGCTCAGCCAAACCGGCGGAGCTCCTGACATTGGCATGAAAAACTCAACTTCTCATCTATCAGCGATCTGCCAAGCTGCGCAGCAGCGCATGATGCTGTCAAGGCCACATGCAGCAAAATTCAAGCAACGATCTTGGAAGGTCTGTGGTCCTGTCGGGCCCTTTTCATTTCAACACTGGTCAGGAGCTCTTATCCCAAGATTGCATGTGCCATCCAACAGTTGCACGTTACGCTGCACGCGCACGCCAGGTAGGTCGGGACCCGCAAGAGCCGTAGCAATGCCCGTACCTACTGCGAATTTCAACTTCTTGCATTTTTTTTGCAAAAGATTCAATCCCATGTCTTCAACCTTATACACAGAGTTTGGTTGGCAACATTCCAAAGGTGGTTGCTATCCTAATGCAGCTGTGTACCAACATTACGGTAAACTAGGATGCAGGCAGAGATGCCCTCAACCCCCCGCTACACCCTAAGCCTTAATCCTAAGCCCTCAACCCTAAGCCCTTAAAGGCCTAAACCCTAACCCCCCTAAGCCCTAAATCCTAAACCCTAACCTAACCCCCCTAAGCCCTAAGCCCTAAATCCTAACCTAACCCCCTAAGCCCTAAGCCCTAGGTGCGTACGGTCGCGCCCTGTGACGTTGTCATTCTGGAAGGCATCCTTGTCCTCCACCTCAAAGAGAGCCCTGGGATGTCTTCAGATTTGCCAGGCATCTTATGATGATCTCCCCTAACATAAACTGTTACAGGGTGGGGGAGTATTTTTTGTGGTTTAGGACTAGCGTTGTGGGGAGTTTGCAGGTTTTAGGGCTTAGGTGTCTGGGGACGCTTATGGGATGAAGGAGCTCCGGAGGGGTTTCTAGACTGGGTTGCTGTTAAGGAATTTACGCTAAGTTACCATAACATTGATATAGAGTAACTAGTAGGTCTTCCTTGCTATAGTAATTTACTTTACGCTTCTTAACAGCAACCCGGTAGACGTGGGTCTTTTGCATGCGGCTGCCATGTATGTGAAAAACCCTAAACCCTTGAACCGCGTGGCAAGGAGATTCAGGCCTCAGCGTTTACTTGGAGGGTCAGGGGACTTAGTAACTGCTATTATTTACGGTCTAGGGTGTAGGTTCAGAGGGACTAAGTAAGTCGGCTCATAACGGGGATAACTGGGCTTATTATATGGCCTTTTCGGAGTACTAATCTGTTTGCTAAGTCCCCTGGACCCTCCAAGGAGATGATTTCAGGGCTTGTCGTGTAAAGGTCGTCTTGTTCTTTTGCGTGAGTCGCCTTTGCAGCCATCTTCCTTGGGCTCAGCGTTCACGTATAGTCCCCTTGAAGTAGATCGACTATTGGGGTTTTATAGGGGTTGTATAGGGATAGTGGAAAATCAAATGGAAACTACTATAATGAGTTATATAGGGTTCGGGGCGTAGGGCAAGTTAAGTAGATAGGATATGGGGTATATGGGGGCTTGTTATACTATGCCCGAAGCCATATTCGATCTACTTAAGGGGGACTATAAACCCTAAGCCGTGTTCAGCACTTTAGGCTCAACGGAGTCAATGGGGCATGGGCTGGGACTATGCCCCTTCGATTCCACGCTTGACGGTTTCCCTGAACATGCCGCAATATGAACTGACATGGCCCGAAGAGCACAAAGCAGCTTACCCTATAAGGTAGTTTCCCCAAACTAGGGGGACCCCAATATAGACCCCAAAATGCTATAGTCCTTATTATGGCATGGGGACCCCTAAAATGGTACCTGTAATTTTGGGAAACCCCAATTCCAAAGCAAGACTCGGTGACATCA